GTAAAATGAGGATGAAGTTATTTTTTTAAGTTTATTTCAGTGAGGAGATCGAGGATGAAGAAATTTTTTGACAGTTATTTGTTGATGAAATGTGGCTTCATGTCATTCATACAGCTACGAGTCTTTGTTTCAGTTTTTGTGTTATGTATTAAATACTTTAGTGGGTACTTGAATTTGATTAAATATATTACTCAATACGGCTGGTTAGTTAATAGTTGCTCTTTTCTTTTTCTTTTTTTTTGTTTTTAACTTACTGTTTTTTCCATTTTTTTTTAATATTGATCCTCATAAATCACAATCCCAATGGAAGAATGACCAATTTGACATGAAACGTTGAGTGTTTTTACGCTTCAATTTTTTATTCATTTCATTCTATGTAACCATTTGACAATAGGTTGACCGCTACTCCATGCTATCCGCTTCCGCTTGAATCTGGAGCCCTGGCCATGGAGGATGGGTTGACTGCTGTCTCTTTGGATGTAAGATCTTTCTATATTGAAGCTAACTGTCCAAATGGTCATCAGGAGGCGTCCATCGTCTTCAAAGGGAAAAGTACAATTACTAACACTTGATGTCTTTGAAATCTTTGGCCCTGTTTGATAACGTTTCGCGAGAGCGTTTCTATTATTCCTAGCGACTAGCGTTTTCGGGGAATAGAAATGGCAAAAATAAAGCTAAAGAAACGAGTCATTCTAGCGCGAGAACAGCACCCAAAGAATACTGGGAGTGACAAATCAAGGTTTTCAAAGAATACGTTCTCTGGGAATACACGATTCCCACAACATCCCTTAGTACGACATTTCCACATGAGTAGGGGCATTTTTGTCATTCCACTCAAAATAATAAACTCCCAGCCATGATGATGTTCATTCATCGATTCTTCGACCTCATCTCTACCGCTGCATAACTTAGGGAGGTGAACTCTGGTCAATGACCAGAAACACATCTCCGACAACTTTTTTTTCGGCCAAAATCATTTACATAGGTATGGTTGTCTTTCTTCTTGCCATTTCTTTGTTGTAGACATGTGGATGCTCTATCTTTTAGTCCTCTGATCTGTAGTTCTCCCAACCCTTCTTCTAAGAGAGAGAGATAACAATAGCTAGCTTAAGACACGAGTAGATAACAGTGGGTCTGCATTTCTCCCATCCTGTTTTGGTTGGAGCTAGATCTTAAATCCTAAAACATAATTATTCTCCCAGAATGAGAGAATCTAACACGTTACAAGCAAGGTGAGATAATGGATATACAACCTTCCACACACTCTCAAGTCTTCTCTCAAACAAACAATCCAACAATGGCTTCCACCCCAGTTGCTTCCAACCCTTGTGCAAGTTAAACCTCCCAAACCCTATAAAATCTCCTCTAATTTGTCTACCAACTTCCTCTCTAAACCAACATGTACAAGTAGCAGAAGCAAACCCATTACTAAGGAGACAAGATAGAAGCAATTTCTCTAACAAAGTGATTAAGGAAGTTCAAGTGGTGTCGTGTTTTATTGGTGAATGGGGGGATATATTGCTATAACATTGAAAGATGGGACCAAGGTGGACCACAGAAGTGTACCCAAGTTTAAGAAAATTGTCAATTATTGCCTTTTGGCATATTTCATGAAATAAATCAATTTGCTTATTTTTCTAGGAAACCAAATGAAGATATCTACTAGTAGATATCTATACCAATGGATTCCATTTGACACAAATATTGGCTACAACTCCTTCCCACAGCAATACTTTGATTAGTTTTCTTACACTATGAGGCCTAATTACTGAATCTGTGGAATTTATCCCTCATTTTGCACCAAGTTTTCTTTTTTGGTAGAAAACTTCATTAACTAGAAAGGTAGAAGGGAAAAGGAAAACAAATAGAGCAAAACAAACCCACAAGAAACAGAGCATAACAAAGAAACACTTGACAAAGACTGAAGACCAAGGACTAAGCACACTGCAACTAAAGACCAACATAACACGATCCCTAAACACCTAAACAAGACTATTACCAAAAAAAAAAACACCATTGTCGACTTTCCAACTTATTTTATTTGTTTACAACTTATTTCTATTGTTTTCTTACACAAATATTCTACTGTTTCCAAATTACAAAAAAGCAACACCGTTCATTCATCAAAACTAATGACATTTGTTGGGAGTGGCCGAATTATTTCCATTTTACTTGCTTTATATTTGTAGTTGTTGTTCACTTCTATTGTTTACCTTAAACAGTGAAATGATGAAAAATTTACAATCGAAGTACGGGCAAGAATAGTTTCTTTATCCAAACATTGTTTCTGTTTCTATAGAATAAAAATATATTTTCAATGAACAAATTGCCAAATGCCTTTGTTGTTCCTAAAGAGCAAGAAATAAAATTCCTGTTCTAAAACAAAAATTTCCTCGAAAACAGGAACAGGTGGAAACATTGCCAAACAGGGCCTTCGCTTCTGGTTTCCTATGCCCCAGGATCTTGTAATAAAGTTGCACATAAGTGCATAAAATGGCAAAGCTAACTGTCAATTCAGGTTTAAGTTGCAATTGGGTGAGAGGTTGTTCTTTGGTTCTTCATGACTTATTTCTGAGTGTTTGTAACTGATCTTTAATTGATGAATGAAATGCACTAAATGGCTGTTTCAAAGAAAAAAAAAAACAACAACAAATTCTAATTGTAGTTTGGACTTAAAATTTGTTCAACGTCAACAACAATGGTGGATTTAGAAAGACAAAATATAAAAGAGGTGAGTTCGGGAAAAGCCTTCCTTTCTATCGTCTAATACTTCTGCAATTTTGAAACCAACAATTTTCACCGTTTCAGGTCTTCTTTAATATATCACAAACAGTTGAGTTGCAAAAACCAAAGTATTAAATCCATGAATTGGTGGTACCCAAGGTCTTTACAGTTATTCCTTTCTTCTGTTTAAAATTGGTAGACATTTTTCTTGTAGGTTATAGGAGTCACTTGTCAGCTCTGTTTTCTAATTGTAATGGATAATAGAAGAAAATGAGAATCTGTGTTTGATTAAAGGGTTCAACTATGATACCAGAAAGATATGATATAAAAAAAAAAGCTTAGGGCCAATCGGCTGGTATCACAAAAGATGTGTTCAATTAGGTGGTATTAATCAAAATTCAGGGGTGTGCTTTGATACGTCAAAGCTTTTCCAGCACCATGTGTTTTTTATCATAGATTTTCGCTTGATTAAAATACAATTAAAAATTGGGGTTTTTACTGATCAGTCCATTCTTAGAATTTCTAGCTCCACCGTACAGGTGGGTTAGGAGTCCGCTCGGAATTGATGCCAATTCATGGGCGGGTACGAGTGTTATAGCTGGAACTATTTATAATTTTGAATTGTTGTAGGTCTGCAGTTAAAATCAGAATTCTGAGGTGGGGTGCAGTCTAAAAATCCCTCAAAAAAATTTAAAATGATAAATGGGTCCCACCACCCTAATAATTGATAATATTTATTGAGGTAAACGTGGGTTTGGGTTTGAATTGAACACTTCCTCTTTGAGAGAATGAAAATAGCTACACTCACAACAGATGTTTTTTCTTAGAAAGTGGGTAGACTGTGGACACATGTCTAAACTAAAAGGTTTATGTTTGAGAATGGAACTACCCACTTCTTAGATCCTATTTCTTGAAAAAATAGGGTGCCATGTGTTTGAAGGAAGAGATCTCTAATTTGAGGGCTTGGAAAGCAATAGAGGAGTCTGCTGTGGACAACTGCATTTTAGAATAAAGTATGGACTAGGGTTTTTTGTTTTTTGTTTTTTTGCTTCAGCTTAGTTTGGAAGGACCAAAGGAGTACAAATATAAATATGTACAGTACAAATATATACAAAATAATACAAAATACAAGGTTTTGCACTCTACAAATTTGTATTTGTACTCCTTCCAAACTGAGCCTTCACAGAAAATTTAATTTAAGGCTCCATTTGGGAAGAGTGTAAACACACATGTTCAATGCAAACACAAACGTTGTCAATTTCTTGAACCTTGCATATTTATATTTGCACCGAACATGTTTGTATTTGTACTCTTCCTAAAAGGAGCCTGAGGCTTCATTTGGGAGGAGTGCAAATACAAATATGTTCAGTGCAAAACCTTGTATGTGGTCCATATTTGTATTTCTAAATCTTGAATTTGCACTCTTCCCAAATGAAGCCTAAAGCTCAGTTTGGAAGGAGTACAAATACAAATATGTAGAGTGCAAATACTTATAAAATAGTACAAAATACAAGGTTTTGCACTCTACATATTTGTATTTGTACTCTTTCCAAATTGAGCCTTTGGAAGGAGTACCAATACAAATATGTACAGTACAAATACATACAAAATAGTACAAAATACAAGGTTTTGCACTCTACATATTTGTATTTGTACTCCTTCCAAACTGAGCCTAAAGAACTAGCAACGAGGAAATACAGCCAGGAGGGTAATCAACCCACACAAGGGACCCACCAACACAGGATGTAAAAACTACAATGCACATGAGCTAACTCATTCTACAGCCTACAAATATGAGAAAAGGAAATAGATGAGTTGAAGTCGAGCCCAAAATTGATAAAAGTACTTGGTGTTCGTGAACTGAACCCAGGCCAAATTATTAGTTCCTACAGCCTTGGTCCATTGGTGGGGATTGGGGAAGTTTGATTATGCTTTTGGAATGTGATTCAGGCAGTAAATTACGCTTTATGTCGTTGTTTTTCCTAAAGGAAAGCAATAACTATGGTTAAATTTTAACTCAAATATGAATTATATGTTTTTGTTGTAGCATAAGGAGTCATAAAATCAAATCAAAATTTGATATTCACCATATTATTTTTTTTTCAGCCGATAATTAAGGCTATGTTTGGTTTGAAGGAAAAGGGAAAGGAAGGAAAAGACAGAAACCAATACAAGGTTTGTAAAGGTTTTCCTACCTTTCCCTTACTTTCCCTACATTTTCCTTCAAACCAAACATAGCCTAAAGGAACACAATTCTTAGAAAACAAAGCTAAAAGTAGCAATTAAGTGCACAACTACAAAACAATCTTGAAAAGCAAACAAAAATATTGCTTTGGTGTGTTAGGAACAGGAACTACAATTGGAATCGGAACAATTTTCAAACAAAAATATTGCAAATGTACATTATTCTGAAGTAATGTTTCACCTGTTTTTCCATGTTTATGCTTCCTTGTCCATGTTCGAAGAACGATCCTTATGGAGCCAGAAATTTACTAAAAAAGAATCGATAATGATCTACACCAAAAATTTTATCTAGGTAAAAATGTTTGTGCATTATAAGTCTAAATCAAGGGATAAAAGCAATCAATGAATTACCTGGTTGATATGTGCTGCAACACAAGGAAGAACCAGCAAACCTGATTCACCAAGTGCACCACCAAGCTGCTCCACAACTGTTACCAATACAGGGAGGGTTTTCTAGGGAAAGAAAAGCTAGAAAGTCAAACCACATTTACTACTTGGTCATGTACAGATGAATACATATTGCATGAACAGAGAGAATTGAATCAATTGATCCCCCAAAAGAGATCTATAATTTATACAACTCCAAACGGTATATACATCTTAATGAAACTTTTACTACATTAATCATATTGTTCAAATGAAATGACAGCCAAGGTGCTTGGACAGTTATCCAGGTGGGCTAACTTCTAAGGAGATCCCCTATGTGAGACCTAGAATAACTAGTCCCAACCTCCCATTTCATAAAATCATTCTGTCTAGAGATTATGACAGTTTGAAAATGAATATGGCCCTAGCTAAGGTTGGATAGCAAAACAGGATTCATGTAACCAACCACATATGATAAGGCTTTGTCAAGTTTAGTACTGAGCTATGAATATAACCAAGAGAACTACATTTTTGAGGGAAGTCTTTAATTTAATTGAAGATACTAACCTGGCTTGCAACAAGTACAAGAGCACGGGCATTCTCTTTCTTTGAAAAGACTGATTTTCCACCACCAGAGATAGCTGAGATACCATGTATTGCAAGGCTGTTAAAAGCTAAAAGGATGAGATGCAAGAGTCTGCAATAGGTGAAAGGGATCACTATTGTCAGTGAGAATTTTATTAAAGCTGAATCGTTCAGAATGTGCAACATGAATGGTAAAAGAAATTTAAATAATTTGTGCTGTTGACCACCATGGAAGCTTTGGGAAAAAAATTGGCCGTCTAAATTTGACAATCTGGGCTGTCAACATGGCCCTCCCTGTATGACATGTCAGTTCACATAGACTTGGCATGACAGTATTGGTGCTGGATGCATGGCTTGGTGAACTAGTGTGACACAAGGAGAGACCAGTTGGCAGCCTAAGCTGTCAAACACAGACGATGTTTTCTTGAAGTTTTGGTGATGTTTCGTCCTTGCACCATTAATGTAGCACATCTATGCATCATTCTGGACTATTTTTGATGGACAACATCCCAAAACTATACCATGTATCACATAACTGAAACTAGAAACACAGAGAGCTAAAATTTGGGCAAACATTTAAGACAAATACTAGTTGAGAGAGGACAAAAAGTCCATCAGCAGTTATGATCCACCATAGTAGTAATGATTTGTAAATTTGTAAACAATATATGACCCCTCATAAAACAGTATCGTAGCCTGAGACATGTATTAAGTATTTTTTAATTGTTGGGGACCATATGTACTGTACATTAAACTGGAGCCAAGCTATTTTTTTATTTGCAGTAATTTCTATTAATATCCAAAAATATCAGGAAATAACATACAAAAAGAAGAATGAGAACATACATTCCCATCCCGATAGCTACAAGGAATACTGCAGGCTTAACCATTAGCAGAAGTGGACTTGATATGCTCACCTGTACCCATGGCACCTGGAATAGCATACATAATAGTTAAACTCTAGATTATCTTAAGTAAAAATGTGCTCAGACTTGGCACTACCTAGCCAATGAAGGTGCCTAATAAAAAATTAGCAAGTAAATTAATGATAAACTGGACAAGAGAAGGCCAAATCCAAGAGCCCCTAGAAGACCAAAATCTTATTCAAAAAGCCAATCTACAAAATTAAAGCTTCACATTTGAATTGAATGGAACATGCAGAACTTGATCACACATTATCTGGTTCCATATTTGCACCAATGCTGAAAAGCAGGATACAATCAAATTGTTTGACCAATTGATCATAACTGGACTATAGTAGTTATAATGAATCAAATTACACCCTAAAATAGACAGATATCTTCAATTGTTCAATTGAGAAAAACATTTCAACTGTCTAGTTCAACCACTCTAAAGATATTATTATTATTATCGTTATTATTATTATTATTATTATTTACTTCTTTCAGCAATTACACCATCTTAACTCAGGATCTGACTGCTGGTTGCACTGAATGCCGGCCTTCTTTTTGGTCTAGCATCTGGTTTGGTCTTTGAAACATTGATTTGCACAAACAAAAATATGTAATTATAAGGAAAGGGTATTCAAATACCACTATTTGGTGTCAACAAAGAGGTGAAATCATACAAATCTCAAGCAAAAATTTCTACACAAAAATCCTTGTTTAATGTATTATTTAACTTTGTATTATGTATACATTGCATATGAAACTGATAAAAAATACTACTTTTAGTCAATAGAATTAGATGATTATTTTCATAAATGAGAAGCTTTCAATAGTTTAGGTAGAGAGAGTATGAATATGAAGATAAGAAATATCTTTAACCTCCAGAAGTAAAGCATCAATACTTGCTTCAACCATTTCTATATGCAAGAATTTAGTATATCAGCGTCTTTATTTACTCAAAACAAACATATATTAAGCCTACTAATTGATAGGAAACAACTCATCTCAAAACCAGGTCTACATATTAGCTAGACACCCAAACTACAGTGCATTCAAATATTGTACAAAACGCAGCATCTATGATTTTGTACCCATTTTACATTAAATGCATAAACCAAATAGTGTTACAATATTTGTGCAACATTGAAACATTTTGATATCATCAAATGGCTTGACAAGGAATGAAAGGGGTTGTGGTTCAAGTCTTACAAGACTGAGGAGAATTGCACTAATCATTGAAAAATGTTTACGATTCTGATCAACATACTCTCCCACACCTACAATGCAGGCAATATCAGGTTTATAGCATGTATTTTGAATACAGTCATTTGAATGGACATTGAAATGTGTGTGGGTGCCAGGTGTCCAATTTTATATGCAATCCTGCAATTCAAATATACAAGTTCTTCATTATCATCTTAGTGAGGGCATATCTATCATCTAAAAGACTTGCTTAAGCTATTATATGCAAACTTCTGGAGCAATGCATGAGCACAACATATTTGTTTTTTCTCTCCAAATGGTGTTGAAATTCATTGAAAATCAGGTATACTGATGCAGGTCAGTGACAAGAATGGAGGAAAAAAACATGATAGGCTTCAGACTCACAACTAAAATATATATAAATGATAAAAAAGATAATAATTGATAATAAAATTTAATAGTTACAATGAAATAAGAGATAACAAGGATAGGATACTGGGAGACATGCTCAACCCAAGGGATAGCAGCTCCCTCAATTCATCAATTCAGGAACCTGTTAGCATAATGAGAGGAATCACTTCTCTAGTGGAGGGTCATTACTTCCACCAACAAGATTAAATTAATCCCTTAAGCTTCCCCTCCTTGTCACCCATGATGGGTTTATATATAGCTTTGCAACTTCTAAGAGAAGATACCTTCAACATCATGAGAGACACATCTACTTTGATTTCCCAATGGGAGTCTTCACTCTTCTCTCTTGGACCTCTACTCTAAGAAAAAGGGCTCCCTATGGCCAAAGTGAGAGCTGCTCAGAGTGAGAGTAATTGAGACGTTGATTGCAGAAGTGTTGTGGTATTTACAGTCCTAAAGGTTAAACAGCATGGCTTGACATATTCCAACAATCTTAAGGCTTTTAGTATATTGGTCAAGTACATGACAGTTACTCTCCTTATTTGTCTTTTGAAGAGATGTCTTCTGGTTCTGGTAAAAAGGAAGAGGAAGTCAAATTGGAAATGATGCAGTGTTTTGACCTGGCCTCCTGGAGAGGAGTTTATTAAAAGGATCTTTCATTGAATGAAACATAGGATTCTTCTTCATGGATGAGGATGGGCGAAATCATTCTGAATTGGACCTAGAATTAGTAGGCATTGGTGTGTACAATAGGGCTACTATCCTAGAAAGTGGCAAAGACAATAATGTGTTCACTGAAAGAGAGCAGGAAATTATGGCATTTATTGAAAAACATGAAGGTCAGCGGGGGAAGCTTGGAAAGAGGGGAGGGAAGGTCAGTTCCTGCGAGCAAAAAGATGGAAGAAAGTGTTGAAGGTGGAAGCGAAGACTTTCATCTTGGAAGAAATATGGACTAGAAATGGACTCTCTCTAAAGATTGTAGAATCGAGGAAAGCTTCTTTGCTTCTCGAAGGAAGGGCAGTACCATGGTTCCAAGGAGTTCTCGATGGAGCTAAAATAACAGAAAAATCAAGGGAGTGGAGGTGCTGTCTATTGGAACAGAACAGGAAGTACGTGGCTGAAAGAAAAGAGAACAAGTACGGGAGGTTTTTGGGAGTGCAGGAACACTTTGGTGAGGGGCTGAAGCAGTTTACCTGTTTCCCTGAAGGAAGGGAGGCCTCGGGATGGGATCAGTTAGCAGAAGCAATTCAGGAGTTTATGGTGGTAACTAATGACAGAGAAAGTGCCCTGAAAGATGGTCAAAAAATTAAGGAGCAATCTGAAAGTTTCCAGGGAGATCCCAGGAGAGGAGATAGGGACAGAAAGTAAATTGCAGATTGATGCTAGACTAGGTTTGGTGAAATTGTGGGTGAACAAACCTAAAGAGGATTGGCAGATTAAACTTGTCCTCTCGGTAAACAAGAAAGTAAAAGATTGGGAGAGACTAGGTGAAGAAGTCCTACAGATTTTGAAGACCACAGAGGTGTGGCAGATTTCTCCCTTTGACGACCACAAGGCTGTAGTGTATTTTCAGGGGATTCCTCTGGATTTTGCTACTGTTTCGGCTGTAACAGAGCAAGGTG